GGGGAGATAGATGGGTCAGAGGATAGAACGTGACCCCCAGGCAGCCTGTGGGGGAGGCTTGCTCGTGTCCTGCTGTCCACTCTCCTCTCTAGGGCAGCGTCTTCAGGTTCAAGGACTGAAGCCAGCCCCTTGCCACCTTTACTGACTTGAATTGAGACCTTAGGGCGCTGAGGACCAGATGGTGCTGTGCCACCCCCTCCAGCGGACACCCCTAGGCCAGGAGGGGCCAGCGCTGGTGGACAGTGTTTGTGGATCTCAGAGGCTGGGGTCTAACCTTTGTGAAAGGCCAGAGAGTAAATAGTTTAGGCTTCGCGGATCTCGGGGCAAAGTTGAGTACTTATAAACATAAGAGAGAAATAAATTTCCACAAAATTTTCTACTTTTATTAGTGAAATTTTAAAAATAACAGTAATAAGCCCTGGCTGGTTTGGCTCAGCGGTTAGAGCGTCGGCCTGTGGTCCAGAGAGACCCGGGTTCGGTTCCCGCTAAAGGCATGTACCTCGGTCGCAGTTTGTCCCCGACCCTGGTTGGTATTGCGGGTGGCAGCCACTCGATGTGTCCCTTCACGTCGATGTTTCCCTCTCTCTCTCCCTTCCTCTCTCTCCCTCCCACTCTCTATCTGTACAAAAAAATGGAAAAATGTCCTCGGGTGAGGGAAAGAAGGAAGGAAGGAAGGAAGGAAGGAAGGAAGGAAGGAAGGAAGCAAGCAAGCTCTGGCTGGTTTGGCTCAGCGGTTAGAGCTTCAGCCTGTGGTCCAGAGAGACCTGGGTTCGGTTCGGTTCCTGCTAAGGGCATGTACCTCAGTTGCAGTTTGTCCCCGGCCCTGGTTGGTCGTGCGGGTGGCAGTCACTCGATGTGTCCCTTTCATGTCAATGTTTCGCGCTCTCTCTCTTCCTCTCTCTCCCTCCTGCTCTATCTGAACAAAAAATAGAAAAATATCCTCAGGTGAGGATAAAAACAACAACAACAATAATAATAATGATGAAGTATAATTTTTGGGTAATGCAGTTTTTACTAATGCAAACAGTGGCATTTTCTGGGGGTGATAGCATTTCTCTTTATCGGGGTTCAAAGTTAGTATTCCCCAGACCTATTACCAACGGGCAACATTCATCTGCACAGATCCTTAGCTCGAGGTGGCACAGAAACAAGCCGAGGGCTGTCTTTGGCCTGGGAACCAGAGATATGACCACTTCTGCTCCAAGCTCATGTCCGCAGACTGTGGATTCGGTCCCACAGTCCAGCTTCAGGACAGAGGTACCCACGTGCCAGGGTGGGTCCGTGTGGGGAAGACCAAGTCAGCCCTCTGAAGGGGGACAGGTGGCCCACAGTGACGTTAGTGCTATGACCGTGGAGGGAGGAGAGGGAAGCCCCCTGGAGGGTACTGGGGCGCCCGGAATGGCACACGGAGGGGTCTGCAGGAACCGAGGGACAGCGGGGTGATATGTCTAGAAACAGTCACGGCATGTGTGTGGCTGGTGCTCTCGAGAAAGGTGGCAAGACATAAGGAGCAGAATTTGTATTGTATTAAGTTTTCATTCATTTTACCATAAATATTCGTCTGCGGCTAGTGGCTGCCGTATTGGGCAGCGCAGGTCTAACCTGGACAAGAGCGAACAGACTCGTGGTCTCCTCCCCCGAGGGCCCTCCTTTCCCACGCGCCGCGGGTCCCGGGAGCAGCCGGCGCAGCTCGGGGGCCTGTGCCGAGAAGCACCCCTTTCAGAGATAAATAGGAACCCTGGCTGGTAGCGGATCAGTTCGGGGCCCCAAAGAGACACTTTCAAAGTGGCTGAAAACAGTTGTTTGCTTTCCTCTGAAGTATCTGAGACACAGCCCTGCTGTCTCATTGACGTAATAAATTTACTCTGAAACATGTTTTGTAAACTGCCAGTCAGCTTTGGTCCAGCTCCTGGGAATGAATGAGGTTTGGCCAGACAGACGCTGTGCGTGCTTCCCACTTAGGCCTGTTTTGGCTGTTGGATCTTAGCCTATTTTGTAGTTTTTACGCACAAATTCTGGCCAAGGTTGCAGTCTTTTTCCTTCTCTCAAGCTTGGGTAGATTTGGGGGTGTGTGCCTAGTCTAGTTAGAAGTCAGAGCCTGATGGGTAGATCAATACCTTTGTGTTCTTGAAACTTGCAAGTTTGGTTATTTTCCATTGTTTTAAGATCCCAGTGCTGTTTTTATATATAATCCATGGAAGACTCTTTCTAGCATTCAATCATTCTAACTTTTTTTTTTTTTATCCTCACCCAAGGACATTTTTTTATATTTTGTTCAGATAGAGTGGGAGGGAGGGGGAGAGAGAGAGAGAGAAACATTGATGTGAAAGGGATACATCGAGTGGCTGCCACCTGCACGACCCAACCAGGGCTGGGGACAAACTGTAACTGAGGCACGTGCCCTTAGCAGGAACCGAACCCGGGTTTCTCCAGACCGCAGGCCAACGCTCTAAACTCTGAGCCAGACCGGCCGGGGCAATCATTCTAACTTTTGACCAAGTTTAATCTTAGTTATCTTTGAATATATATTGTAAGGGTGGGTGTGTCTTTGAGCATGGAGGTAATTGCTTTTCTCTCTTGCAATTTTAATTAAAATTTACCTCTCCCTGCCTGCCTCCCTCGATGCCCAGGCCCTTACCCCTCCCTGCCTGCCTCCCTCGATGCCCAGGAGCTGCTGTGGAAAAGCAGCAGTACTGTTTATCCCGTCCCTGAGTTCAGGAAGCAGCACCTCCCTTTGGCTGACAAAGGTGAAGATTTTGTCTGCTGCATTTTTTCACAAGACGTTTGTGTAGTCAGGGGTCAGGAGGGGTGTGCCCACAGTATGCTGCGGAGGAAATTTGTCGGGGTTGGCGGCGTTGTAAAGCATGCTTCCTCTGTACCCTAACTTAACAGGAGTACCTCCAGTTCCCATTTTTCTCAGCACGACTGAGCCCAACCCCCACAGACAGAAGATGGTTCTGCCATCCCTGGACAGCCAGAGGCTGGAGAGCTAAAACTCAGCCGAGAGAGGGCAGGATGCATCTCCCTGGCCACTGACCTTCCAGCATGTCTGCTGCCCTCATGGAGCCTCGTGGCATTTCCCACCGGTGGCTCCCAGCAGGTCCTCACCTTTGGGTAGCTGTTCCTGAACCTACTTCATCCTGTCTGCCCAGACCTGGCGAATGACCTTCAAGTACAGCTCTTCCCCTCCCCCTACTTAGAAGCCTCGGGTCACGGCACATCGTCCACGGCTCGTCCACGGCTCAGCAGGGTGACGGGTTCCGATCTGAGCCCCTGCCTGCCTTCCCAGGCTCCTGGTCCTTCACGGTGCTTCTTTCTGAGCTCTGTCCTGTGCCAGGCTCTCTGCTGAGCTCGGGACACAGCGATGAACAAGTTCCCCTTGGAGGAGAGCATTAGAAAAGGAAACAGTAAAAGTAATTCCATGAATATTTCATTTAACCTGTTATGTCCAAAATACCTTTTTTTTTTTTAATCCTCACCTGAGGATATTTTTGCATTTATCTTCAGATAGAGTGGGAGAGGGAGGGAGGGAGGGAGGGAGAGAGAGAGAGAGATAGAGAGATAGAGAGAGAGAGAGAGAGAGAGAGAGACATTGATTGGTTGTCTCCTGCATGACCCCAACCAGGGCCAGGGATGAACCGCAACCGAGGTACGTGCCCTTGTCCGGATTCGAACCTGAGACTCTTTGGACTGCGGGCTGACGCTCTAACTGTTGAGCCAAGCTGACCAGTGCATGCAGTTTTTTATAGTAAAAATTCACGATGAGCCCTGGCTGGTTTGGCTTAGCAGTTAGAGTATTGGCCCTCGGACGGGAGAGTCCGGGTTTGGTTCCTGCTAAGGGCACGTACCTCGGTTGCAGTTAGTCCCTGGCCCGAGTTGGTGTCGTGTGGGTGGCAACCAGTTGATGTGTCTCTCCCATGTCAATGTCTCTCTCTCTCTCTCTCTCTCTCTCTCTCTCTCTCTCTCTCTCTCTCTCTCTTCCTCCCTTTCTTCCTCCTGCTCTATCTGAAGAAAAATGTCCTCTGGTGAGGGTATAAAAAAAAAAAAAAACTCACGATATGTAATTGGTACTATTATCGAGTGTCTGTTGTTGACCACACAGTGGCTAGGTGCTTCCCTTGCAGGTTTTCATTTCATCGGTGCAACTAACCCTGTGTCTCTCCCAGTTTACAAATGCTGTCTCCTCCCAGCACAGCTAAACGTGACAGCCATCCATCTCCTGCGGGTTTAACTGGGTTAGCAGGCAACCTCGCCTGTTTCTTCTGTGAATGCTGTCATTAAACCTCCACCTTTCCTCAGTCGTTGAGCAAACAGTGTTTGAGGACGTCCGCGCTAGGCCTTACGTGCCGTACACGGCTGCTGTGTAGTGGTTGGTCTGTAAATATTTGTTGATTATTAAACGCCTTAGTGTGTCTATTTAATCATTTGACCCTGCAAAGTAGGTATTGTTACTCCTGCTTTTTGGAAGAGAAATCTGAGGCTTGGCGAGGAGTGGGAACACGCCTTCCAAAACCAATAAGGAAATATCTAGTTGGGTCTTTCCAAGTCCAAAGTGGGTTCTCCTTCCAAGGGCCTGTGCTGCCTCCGGCCGGGGCAGTCTGATGCTGCATAGGGTGGCTGTCCTGGGTGGGGGGTAACAGTGGCATCTGCCTCGCCCTCCGTCTTTCCCTGTGTCCGGGTGGCGTGCAGATGCGGGGCCCTGCCGGCAGGCTGCCCCTCCCTGCTGGTTCACAGGGAGGGCTGAGACCCGGTGGTCGTGGCGTTGGGCCAAGGTAACGGGTGTCTCTGCCGGAGGCCAAGGCCCTGCACGAGTGTGCACAGGGGCAGCTCGCGGGCTGCAGGGGTGAGGCACGTGTGGGCGTCAGCGTTCAGCGCCTGCCAGTCTGCACACTGGGGACTTGCCCCACAAAGCAGCCCGGAGCGACTTCCCGTGGCCGCTGTCTGGGAGCCATGATCTCAGCCCGAACCCCGTTCCAATGAGTGTATTCTCTATATTTCAGGCTTTGGACGTGGACCGGATGGTTCTTTACAAGATGAAGAAATCCGTGAAAGCAATAAATATCTCCGGGCTGGGTGAGTATGTGTCCCCTCCTCGGGGTCCCTCTGGGAAACACTGCACGTGTGGTCCTGAGGCCATCGTGTCGATCACCGTTAATGAGTGATCAGCTCATCTCCTTTTTCTGGGTACGCAAATTAGAGGTGAGTCGGGGTGTTTACACTTTAGAGTATTTCTGCTTTGCTCATGTCCAGTCCTGTTGTGGGGTCACGTCCTGCACTCCCCCCTCCCACCCCACGTTGTGCTTCCTGCCCCTGGGGGACAGCTGAGTTTCCCGCGGCGGCTCGGCCAGAACCAGCCCCGCCAAACGAGCAGACGAGCCTCCGTTGCTGCCTGGTACTCGGACTGTGCTGTTAGTCCTTCGGAATGCCCTTTCCGTTCCTCCTCTGTCCCAATGCTTACCTTTCTTGTTTGGGAAGAAAATTAATAAATATAAATGTGTGATCAGCTGTGCAAAGTAGTGTTTGATCTAGTCTTATATAAATAAGTTAAAAACAAAAAGCACTGCCACCTTTGACTTGCAGCTTGCAGGCTGCTCGTCACGCAGGCCTGCCCCTGCACGAAACCTTCAAGTGATAGAAAAAATATCTTGTAAGTCATTAAGTGACTATAGTTTCACTCAAAAGCAGCAGTGACAACCTTGAAGGACAAGATGTCTTGTGGGATCCCCGAGAGGTTGGAGCAGAGCTGGTGGGTCGCAGAGAGAAAGGCTGGTGTCCGGGGGCAAACCACTGCTGAGGACGGGAGACACCGCGGGTCCTGAGGGTGGTGGCCCGGGAGCAGGAGGGGCCCAGGGTTCACTCCCGCAGAAGCAGTCAAGCCACTGGCCACATTGTCCCCTTCACCCTCATGGGGTCCCCTTTAATGAAAGCAGCGCTGGAGCGGAAGGCCAGGAAATGCCTGGGGGGCGTGCTGTCTGGAGGAAGTGTTCTGGAAGTCTGTGCCCAATGCACCCCTCCCAGACCCCCAGGTAAAATACTGTGAGCTGGGTTTGCCCCTCCCCCACGGACGGCTACGAGCCAACCTCGGGAAGAGTTTGGTAGGAAATCTCAGCTACAACCAGGATGCTACGATCAAGAATTGCCAAATGCATTTAGGAAGAGATTAAACAAAAAAATGCAAAAAGTCTATATTGAAAACGACAGAACCCTACCAACAGAAGTTAAAGGCCACCTCGAGCCGATCTGTCTGCCTTCGAGTCTTGTAAAACTAGAGTAATCAAAACTCGCTGGTTCTGGCATAAGGGTCAACACACAGATCGCTGGAACAAAATAGAGCGTCCAGAAATAGACCCACATTTAAATGCTTTTTAAATTTTTCAGCAAGTTGCTGAGGTGGTCCAATGGGAGGGAAAAGTGTTTTCAATAAATGTGCCAGACCAGCTGAATATCACATGGGAACAAATGGCCCACAATCCTCTCTCACAGTTGCACAGAAAGGGATTTGAAATGGATCATAGATTGAAATGTAAAAACTTAAACCGAGAGAACCCCCTGAAGAACACAGGGGAATGTCTTTGCAAGCTGGGTAGAAGGAGGTTTCTTAGCTAGGACACAGACAGCCATCAGCCTAGAAGAAAAAAACAGTGGACTTCATCACAATGAAAGACTTCCGTTCAATCAACAATTACATTAAAATAACCTCACATTTGGAGAGCCCCCAAATCAAGAAACTGAGGAAGCTGAATTAATAATAAGGCACTAAGAACACTTCAAAATCAGGACGTATGATTAAGACCCTGACAGGGGCCAGGAAGGTTATTAAATTATGGAAATGGAATAAGGTGCCAGTGAAAAGGAACCAGTAAAAGGCTTAGAAATAAAGAAAAAAAGGAACTTGAAATAAAAACTAAAATTTGCTAAATAGCCACGTAGGAGGAAGGCATTTGGGATCCCCAGGTTTCCTGCACACTCACAGGGGTGAAGAGCGAAGTAAAAATGAAGCGACGGGGGAAAACAGAGGACGGGTAGCAGCATCCACCAAAAAAGTTTCAGGAGCGGGAAGAGCTGGAAGGGGACATTGCTGAAGAAACTGTAGCTGAAAGATTCCCAGACTAAAGAAGGAGGTGAGATCTCAGATCGAGACAGTCCATGGAATCTAAGCAAAACTGTGTGTGTGTGTGTGTGTAGCTATGTTTACATATCTCAATACACGTTCTACCATCTTGACAGCAGTGATAAAGAGAAAATTTAAAAATTACCAAGAGGGCCCTGGCCAGGTTTGCCCAGCGGTTAGAGTGTTGGCCCACGGACCACTGAGTCGCAGGTTTGATTCCGGTCAAGGGCACGCACCTCAGTTGCAATTCGTCCCTGGCCCTGGTCGGGGTCATGCGGGAGGCAACCAGTCGATGTGTCTCTCTCGCATTAATCTTTCTTTTTCTCTTTCCCTCTCTACCCCTTTCTCCCACTCTATCTGAAGATAAATGGGAAAATATCCTCGGGTAAGAATTTTTTTTAAAAAATCACCCAGAGCCCTGGCCGGTTTGGCTCAGCGGTTGGAGCGTCGGCCTGCGGTACAGAGAGACCCGGGTTCGGTTCCCGCTATGGGCACGTACCTCGGTTGCAGTTTGTCCCCGGCCCTGGTTGGTCGTGCGGGTGGCAGCCACTCGATGTGTCCCTTCACATCGATGTTTCTCTCTCTCTCTCTTCCTCTCTCTCCCTCCCACTCTATCAGAACAAAAAATGGAAAAATGTCCTCGGGTGAGGATTAAAAAAAAAATCACCCAGAGGTAGCCTCTGGCCGGTGTGCTCAGTGGTCGGGCGACGTCCTGTGCACCGAAGGTTGCCAGCGCGATTCGCCCGCCTTCGGCTGTTTGCCTGGGAGATGGTGGGCAGGGAGGGGTGATGGGGGTGGTTTGTTTCTGTGTTGAGCACTCCCTGTGGACCGCGTGCTCTCTGTACAGTGCGCTAATCTTCGCTGCAGACCGTTCTTAGTTTACGAAGGAGGGACCTGAGACCAGAGGGTAAAGGTGTTCTCGGGATGCTCCTGGAGCGTGGCTTCCTGCTGGTCCAGGGGGTGTTGGGTGGCCCTCTGCCCTGAGGCCCCGCGTGTCCTCACTGAGCAACTGTCCTCAGGACTTCCAGAAATCAGCAAGAGGTGGACGCTCGGCTTGGCTGACAAACATTGGGTTTCAGAGAGGATCTTAAGAGATTTGATCTTTGTTCATTGGGCTTTTTGAGTTTATAACTTAAGGCTAGCATAGCATGGATGTTTTGTATTCTGCAGTGATTTTGAAGTCATCTGTTGTGAAGGCTGTGCTTCGAAATAGCAGTGAAGGCCAGCCGGTGTGGCTCGTGGCTCAGTGGTTGAGCGTCGACTCGTGCACCAGGGGGGTCGTTGGTTCGATTCCCAGTCAGGGCACATACCCAGGCTGTGGGCCCGATCCCCAGTGGGGGGCCTGCAGGGGACAGCCAGTCAGTGTTCTCTCTCATCCATGTTTCTCTCTCACCATCTCTCTTCCTTTCACTCTGAAGTTAATAAAGAAAATTTATAAAAAAGAGAAATAACAACAAAGTAAGGAGCGTCTTGTTCAGACGTCAGCTGGTGACCGCTGCTTGTCTGCAGAGGGCCCCGCGTGTCTCCCGAGGCTCGCTCAGCACCAGCCTTTCAGCCAGCAAGCCCCAGACTGGACAAGGTGGTCCGCCTTCCTTCCTGACCTGTGCCGCCCAGCGCGGGCCGCCAGCTGGTCTGGCCCTGCCCGGAGCCGGCTTCTGAAATACAGCCAGCCATGTGACCTCTCTGCTCAGAGCTGGGCCAGGTCGTCGTCCGTGAAGGCGGTTCCCGAGCCTGGGAGGGACAGGGAGGCCCAAGGGGGCTCCAGCATTGTAGGGAGTACGGGTAAAGCACAGGTAAACGAGAGTCTCTCCTGCAGAACTAGCCAAAGCCTTGAATACGCTCGGGTGGGTCGGCAGCGGAACTGGATCTTAACCTTTTCCCTTCTTCTGCCTGGAAAAATGTCACCGCCTCCTCCAATCAGGCCCGGAATCCTCAGGTCACTGATTCCGCAGGGTCCCGGAGGCGGCCCAGCTCCCTGCACCCCCTGGACGACCGTCAGAGCGCCCTCCCGCCTCTCCGTGCCCCTCTGAGAAGTGACTAGCAGTGCCCCCCCCGAGGACCATGTGTGGTGCCCTCTTCCCCCTGCACATGCTCTTCTGTTCGCTCGAAATGGCATTTTGCCACTTTATCAAGAAACCGAGGCCGAGGAAGTTGAGGGCTTTGTTCTGGAATTTGAACACCGCTCTCTAGGTGCCCGGCCTGTGTCCTTGAGCCGCCCCGCCCACGGCAGGGGGAAGCCCGACCTTGCGGGGGTCCCCTGTTCTTGTCATCGTTTCCCCGTCTCCAGTGTCATGCCAAGTGTGAGACAGTGTAGGGCCATGCGTCTGACTTCCTCTCGGGCCAGAGCATCCTGACCCTGAAGTCTTTCTTTTAGAACAAGTCTTGTCTGCGTCAGTGTAGCCACCCGAGAACCCCGTCCCCTTCCCGATACGTGGCTGACACCGCTCGTGGCATTTTTGTAAGTGCTCCGGGACCGCTCGTTCTTCCGAACACGTTTACTAGAGGGGTCTGAGGACGGATGGAATTGTTTTGGAACTAGACGTCAGAAATAAGTGAGGCCTGTTCAACGAGGGATTAAGCTGCTGGTGACCCCAGCTGGTTAGGACTGTTACCCCCCACTCATTCTGGTTCTGAGGGCAGTTCGATCCAGAAGAAGGTCCCACGGTGTCTGAGCACCCGAGGCGCGGTCATGGACCTGCTCCACGCTCTGGACCGTCCGCTTAGTGTACGAGAGATGAACTCGCGCTGCACCTGCCAGCAGTGTGGGGTACGGCAGACTCTCTGCTGGGTGAGGATTCGTCTACTTCCAGAGAAGGAGGATTTGGGGTGCCTTACAGCAGCCAGCAAGCTAAGAATGTGTTTGCCATCTTACATGGTGCCTCCACAGTAACCCCAGAATTGCCTCTTGGCCTTCAAAGCCTTTACTCTCTACTCTCTGATGTTTTAGGAAAAAAGTCAGCCC